TGCTAAATTAGGGACGGCTAGCGCAGATAGCCCTCGTGTAGCTTTGCGCGAAAATTAAAAAAAACAAACAAAACAAATTATACATGTATGTTTCTCATGACACAATGTTCACAATAAGCTTTTTTACAAATTAATATCATTTTATTTAATTGGGTCGAATCGATTCATATTGGCTGGTAAAGAAACTTGTATATCAATTTCTACAAATGCTCCAACATTTTCATGATGCAATAGTTTATTTGTTTATGAGATATTCCAACTTATCAAACACCGTACATGAATGGTTCTGTTTTTCGTGTGAATATTGCTGGCTTAAGATGAAATATATATCAATATATACCTTCATGAGATTACTGAAAACACCAGGTTGGGATAAATATGTGTAAACAAACAATAAGTTTGGGCTCAGTTTGATTTCTACAGCTATACGTATGTATTATAAGGCGAGGGTTTGCAAATTTGTTCTGTTCCAATTTTATTATGCTCAGTCAATACTTCCTTTATGTCATATAGTAAAATCAAACATTTAATCACTTTTTGTCATCAAAAAATATACTACAACATATCATTTTCTCTACAATATTGCCACAATTAATAACATTTGTTTAACTTAGAGTGGGTGTCTTGGCCAAATTTTTGACAGTGTTCTTCCCAAGATATTCTTTACTGCAGACATCATCTTAAAGGGCAGCAAATTCACTTTCATATGATATAAGCTGTAGCTTTATACCTTTCGTGACCATTAAAACTCATTTTTGGCCTAACAAATCACTCCATTATAAGTATTTAGAAACTGTGTACTGAGATTTACCTAAGTAGATGTAGGAGTACAACTTGAATGTCACTTTTCTGGATCAATGTAGAGGTTGATTTATAAATAAGAAAAATAAATTATTGTAATTATTATCAATGAACTGCAAGCTGCAGGATGAAGAAAAGATTAACTTAAATAAAACATACTATATCTGCAATAGGAGATTTTTTCTTTCGTTGCCTTTCAACCTCCATCTGCATGCGTGCCATTTCTTTAGCCTGAGCTAATGCCATTCTTGCTTCCGCCTGAAGTCGAGCTTGTCTTGTCATGAAATCTTCTTGTTCCTCCTCCTTTTCTTTTCTTTTACTGTTTTTCTGAGTTGACTGTAAGCTCCAATTTTTAGGTCGATTAAAGAAAATAGATGGTCTTTGTCTCTTACTCCCTAAGGACTGACTGCTACTTGTTGATTCTGCTAAAGTTGAGTTTGATACTGTCTGTTTGATATACAATTCTTAATTGTAAGAACTTCAGAGAACTTTTTTTCTTTTTTTTTGCTTGACAGAAAATTATCCATTTAGAAATATATAAACTACTTAATTTATTACTTTTCTCAATTGAATTACACATTTGTAATTTCATAAAAACTTAGTGGTACAACTTAGAGCTTCTGTATAAAGTGTTAAATCATATTCACTTTAAATTTTTTTGGTAATCTTAATTTCTGCATTTCTCTACTAAACCTTACTTTACAACAATCTCTATCTTTTTATGAAATTACGTGAGAAAAGCTTATATCTCTGGTGAGATTAGTGCCCTTTTCTTTTTTAAAGCCAAAATTTGATAAATTTTAGTTTCTAAACTTTAACATTTAAGCAAGTAAAACATCTAAACAAAATAAATGTAACCAAACAAAAGATAAGTACATGGATGAATCAAATAGTGAGAACGTGGCAGGAACAAAAGCTAACAAATTATGATTTTGTTTTCTTTTTTAACCAGAAATAGCTTAGCATCCAGAGTTGAGGGTAACATGTGATTTAAGTAACCCATTACTAGAGCTGACGATCAGTGGTATGTGTTAATGGATTAGTACATTACGCCCTCTACAGCCCATACAAAAACGTGCTACTTTCTTCAACCACTGTTTTATTCTATCATGATATAAATTTTCCTATTTTCTTTTACATTGTTTTGTCTTTTTTAAATAATTTTCGAATTACTCTTAATTTCAAGTGATATGCCTTTTCTGAACGGGATAGTACAGTTATTAATTTGTGAGAAAAATAGACGGAAGGGGTGGGTTTCATATTTTGATTCCTGAGCCCTTACCTAAGTCTACTCTTGCTTATACAACAATATAGAATAAAGTTATTAATTTCTGGAATAAAATGGATGGAGTCTTAAACTTTTCCTCTACAAATACAACATTAAATAAAATTAAATAAAAGTAAATTATCTCTTTATTCAACACCTAAGTAGCCAGAGAATTGTCGGTGAGTGCTACCAGCCAGTTACCGTCCCCATTTTCAGCATTTCAAAATTAGTGGCAATAACAGATAGCCTCAGTAGCATTTCAATAACAAAGACAGAATGTGCAAATTTAGTGGCAATAGCTTTGATTTGGCTTAAATTTCGAGCAAAGCTATACGAAGACTATTTGCGCTAGTCATCCTTAATTTATCATTGATAGACTAGAGAGAAGGTAACTAGTCAACCCCACTGCCAGTTTTATGGCCGGATTCTTTACAGTAGGTGTCTGTGGCTTGTTGGCGATAAATGTCAACAATAAACAGACAGCACACAATCCACTTGTTTTAAAATAATATATTCAAAAGAAGTCAAACGTGTGTACAAATATTCGTTACACAGTTGTATTCAGAGTTTTAAATAATTGTTTCCTTTCCATCAAAGTTCACACAGGTGGGTTCAATTACTTTAGAACACCCGTTGACAAGACAAATTCGCCCGGCATGGCCAGGTGGTTAGGGCGCTCGACTAGGAATCTGAGGGTCGCGAGTTCGAATCCCCGTCCCACCAAACATGCACTCCCTTTCAGCCGTGTGAGCGTTATAATGTGACGGTCAATCCCACTATTCGTTGGTAAAAGAGTAGCCCAAGAATTGGAGGTGGGTGGTGATGACTAGCTGCCTTCCCTCTAGTCTTACACTGCTAAATTAGGGACGGCTAGTGCAGATAGCCCTCGTGTAGCTTTGCGCGAAATTCAAAACAAACAAACAAGACAAATTTTTCTTTACCTCTGTTGTTACAATACCAATTTGAAACTCACTTTAGATATTCCCCTTTACGGCTAAACTAACAATCACGCAGACTAACTTCACTTTCCCTAACTTACTTTAACTTCTTTACTTACACTCTATATCTGCACGTGATTACAACACCAGACAGAAAAATCTAGAAATATCTAGCCCTCTAGTGACAACAATATTCACATGATGAGAAGAACTTAGAAACTTCGAGTAAGATGACATAAACAGTATTTCAATAGCCTAGTACAACAATTAAACTTCATACACAACATGCAACTCGTACAGAGGTAGGTAACGAAACTTGTCATAACTATCGCTTTTAAAATAAGTACCTTTTAACACTCTTGTTATGAAAATTAAATAATAATTACATAATAACTCTTAAACTAAGTACCCTTTAACACTCTTGTTATGAAAACTAAATTATAACTCTTAAACTAAACATTCTTGTATATCAAACATCCATCCACCGCCAATTCTTGGGCTGCTCTTTTACCAACGAATAGTGGAAATGTATTTTAACGCCCCCACGGCTGATGAGGATTCGAACCCGTTCCCCTCAGATTGCAAGTCGAGCGCCTTAATCACCAGGCTTTGGGTTTAACATCAAAAGAGTATAATGGAAATATTTCGACTATCCAAGTAATCGAAAACAGTAATTTCAATTAATCTATTAGTTTACGTGACATTAATTTATGCAATAGTTGTTCATAAGCGATTAATTAAGTTACCCACCTCTTCTCGTTACTTTAATGATATTACTTTTTTCAATAATGAGATATCATAACACATTAAATTTTGAACATGAATAATATTATTACAGTTATTTTATACGAAATATGTTCATCTCGTTACATTCTCTCTACACTAGTGATTTTTTTTCGGTTTTAAAGCCAAGGTAAGTTTCAGTTTCTAAATTCTAAGCAAATATAATATGTAAACGATGTGTCACATATGATTTTCCTCTGATTAATTGCCAAGACCAATTTCAAAAAGCAGCTCACAACATGCTTTTCATACAAGCTTTATCGACACTGAGGTCATGTTTTGTTTCTATCTGTGTAATTGTGCGCGTGCGCAATTTGCAATCAGACCAACATAAATTTAATAAATTCGTTTTCTGAGATATGATCCAAAGAAGTTTGGAATATCCACGAGAGGAGCAAAAGAAATATAAAAAGTAATAACAATTTGATACTTTTTATTAACTAATACGTAAGGACATTATATATTTTTTTTTTCTGAAGAAACAAATAATGAGATAATCTTTTCAGTGATGTACCTAATATTGGGAGTATCGCACATCTTTCATTTATTTAAGATTCACAGAGAAATAAATAGGCAATTATAGAATACTGAACTTCAACAAGTTAAATGATCAAAATTAACTATAAGAAAAAAATACAAAATAAACTGAAATTAAACATGTGTTAGATACTGTTTACTTGACATTAATATTAATTACAATCTGAGCAAGACAGCTAATAAGAACAAAAATAAACTGAAATTACACACGTGTTAAATACTGTTTACTTGACATTAATATCAATTACAATCTGAGCAAGTTAGCCACTTAGAACAAAAATAAAGATGAACCTGGTAATGAACATAGCTAACGCAATATTCCAGTCATATTTTCTTACTTATAAAGATTAGAATGCAGTCATAAACCCAATGTTAATTAGTCCACAATAGCTTGTTGTAAACGAAAAAATGCATACTTTCCCAAGTGAAAACTTATAAAAAAAATATGTTGAGTATTACTAAAGTAAATACCTTATCTTTGTCTGAAGCATCAGTCAGTCTACTTGTATTTTCAACTGCTGATGACAGTCCACATATATTTTCTTTTTGAAAAGAACTTTCCAAATCATGGTCGCTTCCTTGACTTTCTTGGTCACTGGCTCTTTCATTCATAAAGCAAATCTGTAGATTCATCCCACTCTGCAATCTGGTAGAAAGACTAGGTTTTTTGGTGACTCTTTCTCCACAGTAGTAATCGTCACCATCGGAGTCCATAGCCAGTTTCCTGCGAATTTCTTCTCGATCATTTCGTCGCTGAAAACCGGAAGAGTTTAATGGATAACGACAAGCTCTTCATTATATTTATAGACAACTATTGGAGAAAATACTTTTGGATAGCATATCTGAAGACATTCTGTTTATTAGGAATAATTCATATTCAAAACATCCAATTGTAATTCTGATAATGTTTAGTATTTTTATATAATAGATCCAGCAGTTTGTCATTATATTTTTACACGAATCTATGTATAATAAAATTACCTTGGGACAAATTATTTACAGTAATAAGTTGGGTGTTAGAATGACGTAATATAAAGCATAGTCAATACAAAGGATTTAGATAATTTAATTACCAGTGAATTTAAAACAAAACAAAACATAGTGATCTATGTTTGCAATATTCTTTATTGATATAAAACACTTGTTAAAAGAATGTAATATGTAATGTATCAAGCTTGCATAACATTAATGCACTATTAGCTTTACGTAATGTAAGGCACACACATTAGAAACAATAAGAATATAGTTTACAAGCATTAAAGATCTAAATAAAATAAAAAAAACCAATTGTATTCATATAAACAATACAATATCAGTTATAATAGACACAATACTCAAGGACAAACAGGGGTCTGTTGGTCCATCATGGCTGCCTCATCCACTGAAACTTAACGACGTATAGGTTGGAGAGTAAGAGAGGGAAACAACTCAGGTCTGGCCCTCATCATTAAAATATTTATCAACCATTTTCTTATACTATTTTAAATTTATTGCATCCACCACATCTGAGGGCAACTCATTCCAAAGGCCAACCATCTTGTTAGAAACGTAAAACTGTCTTAGCTAAAAATGACTTTTACCCTGCCAAAATTTATGTGCACCTTTGTCCTACCATCCTCGCCATCAAGTATGATGCTTCAACATTATCAATTCCTTTAACAGCTTTAAACAAATCAATTAAGACCCTTTTAGCTCTTCTTCCTTTTTTCAAGAACATCTTTCCATTCCAGGTATAATCCTAGTAACCCCTTTCCAACAATTCAATGCATTTCTTAAGGCAATGTTACGTCTCCGTTTGTTAATTAACTTTCCGTAACTTCGTTCCGACGAAACTTTAGCGACACAAGTCCTTACT